CGGAAGATGTTGTCATTTTTTTACATGTAAATTAAACATTCTGGTAAACTCAAATTCATATAATCCAAATTTAGAGGAAAAGACAAGAAGCTTGAGGTAAAAGGACGTTAACATGAAAGATGGAGTCAACAAAAAATAAAGATCTTACTGTTTCTATCAGCTGTTTTTGTTTTAAGTCTGTATTTTGTATTTCTGTAAAGCACTTTGTGATTTTATCTATGAAAAGTGCTAAATAAAGGTTGAATGAACATAAATAAAGTTTACTTACTTACGTTGACCTCTATAACTAAACACTCGATTCAATATTTTAGAGACACGTCGTTCAACTAGTCCATATCTGCATCGTCCTGTTTTAAACTCACTCCTATGACTAAAATAATTAAATTAATGTGACACAATTTATCACAAACTGACTTTAGGGAACACTTGACTTTTACTTTGTTAATGTCTTATTTAGTTTTATTTGTAACACAACTTGCCATTGTGCTAAACGATGGTGACACTGAACTGCATGTTTAAAAATAAGAATATTAACTTTACCCAGTGAACATTTAATAACCACCAGCAGAACATTCAGACGTGACGTGACCTCATGCAGCCTTCACAACACAAACTACACTGGGCCACGCAAGAGACAAAAAAACACGTTTTACTCAGTTTAGTCAACCTGCATGTACTGATTAAAATTAAATAATTTACAGGTTCCTTCTTGGTGTCAACGTTTCTACACTTCATAACTTTTATTCTCCTTTCCTTCACCATCCACCTGAAGTAACATCATCCATCTCCTTCTCACGTGTTCTCCGTTCCACTGTTCCTTCACTGATTTTAACTATTTTACTTTCAGGAAGCTTCTCTCTCCTTCACACCACATTTCTCCTTCAAGGTGTTGCAGCATCACGTGGACTTTTCTCATCTTAAGGCTAAATCTTCGTGTATGTAGCAGACAGCTACATTGTTCAAACGCTAACGTAGCGCTAAGCTAGTGGCGCACAATACAGACGTGCTAGCTAAGATGCTACAGATGTAGCGCACGCACCCTAACCCCTCCCCCAGTCGAGAACTGCCCGGCAGTGCCCCTCATGCACCCACACTAATGTAGCGGTAAGCTAGCGCACAACAGCGAGGTGTCTCCCCCTCCTCCTCGAGCTGCTAAGACGACTGACCGAGGAAATGATGCCATTCACCCCCCGGGGAAAACAAAAACTCTTAGGATCTACATTATTCATGAAAATTACAAATTTTAGTTTGAAATCGGCAAATTTTGTCGAAAAGCGACAGGTTTGCAGGTTTGTACACAGAACCACTACGACACAAACTGGACCATCGTATGACGTCATACAGAAGTGAGTGTTGGGGGCGTAGTGATGATGATGTAATTCTGGCTGCTGCGTGTGACTCCGCCCATTATGTCGATGCCCTGCAGAGGTGTAGGGGGCAGGGCTGTTACCTGTCCAGGTGGCTTCAGAGACACAGGAGACGAATCAGAGAAAGTTTCAAGTTCTGTCTAGGTGAGTCACAGGTGAAGTGCCATACCTCCATACCTGTTTGGGGGGGGCTGTGCTCAGGGCCTGGCAGGTGAGGGGAGGAGGCAGCAGGAGGATGCAGATGCTGTGAGGTAAGAAGTGGGGAGGTCTGGCCCCTGTGGTTCTGGGACAGGGAGACCTGCAGAAGGCCGTCCAGAGCTTCGCCGACCCCCCTGGAGGTCGGAGGCCTCATGGAGCTCGTTCCTTCAAGAGACAACACGGAGTTAACATCTAAAGCACACCTGAGGACACTCACCTGGAGGACACAAAGGCATACTGGGATGCATGCTGGCAGGGCCAGGCTGGTGGTACAGGTCAGGGTGGGGAGGCAGGTCCAGCTGCAGACAGTCCTGCATGAACTCCTCCTTAATCAGAGACTGAGGACCTGGAAGGAGAGGAGACAGGAGCTTTAATCTGATTGGCTGTTTCAGAAGATAAAAGCAGCTCAATGGCTGAGAATTGAATTATTTATCCAGATGTTTCCATAGAGACACAAGGTCTCCCTGAACCCTGAACTGCAGGCATTGAAAATGGATCACATCAAAGAACAAATATAAAAATTTAAATTTAGAACAGAGGAAAAATCTGCTGCAGTCAGTCCTGGTCTCATTAATCCACACCCAGATGTTTGATTAAAATCCACACCCAGGTGTTTGTTTAAAATCTACACCCAGATGTTTGTTTAAAATCTACACCC